TCCCCGGGACGTCTGCACCAGTTGAGACCGAGACTCGGTCCTGGGAGCCTTTCCGGTCAGAAATAGCACCTGCGCTCTCAGCGATTCTGGGGTGTGAGGTCAGGGCTGAATTAAGGCTGACGCAGGCGGGCCACTCGCGCCCCGCCAGTGGGCCAAAGTTCACGGCCTCCTCAAGGGCTCCTGAGCTGGGCACGCCCCCTCCTGCCTGGCCTGCCCAGCGCCTCCTAGGGGCCCCCCAGCCTCCCCAGCATGAGAGCGGGGGAGGGGCTCCCCACCCACCCCTCCCCTCCCCTCCCCTGCCCTGCCCCGCCCCGGGGGCTTCCCCGGAGACCGGCCAGCAGTGGGCTTGGAGGTTTTAGCGCGGCCTCCTTCGCCGGCCAGGTGAGGCGGGGTCGGTCCCTGGAGACGGGCCTGAGCCCGCCTGGCCTGGTGCGCGGAGCCCCGGGGGCCACCCGCCTCGTGCCACTAAGCCCTGGTGCTGGCTGGCACCGACCGGCTCACTAGCGCCTACGTGTCAGGCCGCCTCCCCAGGCCCGAATGCGGTCAGTCCCTGAAGCCCAGCTGGGAATCCCTTCGCGGGCTGCCTGGCCTCCTCGCCAGGCGTCTCTCCCCGTGACGGCGCGCCCGTGTGCTGCTGACTCCCCTTAGCCGTCCCAGCTGAGGGCCCCGAAGCGAAGCAGCGAGGCTGGAGACCCTGCGACCCCGGTCGGTTCTGGTGGGGCGGCCGGACTGGACGCCCGAGCCGGCCACGGCCCCGCACCTCGACTCTCAGGCCTGCAGGGCGCGGCGGGGAGAGCCGGCCCTCGAGGACGGGGCTGCTGGTTCCAGCGGCCGGCGGGGTCAGCTCGCAGGCGGGGGAGGCCCCTCGGCTTCCGCCTGACGGGCGAGGCTGCCCCAGAGGCGCTCCCCGGCAGAGGACAAGGCCTCTCACCGCCGCCGCCCAGGGCTCGTGGGACTCGCGGCGTGAAGGGTGGACGGTCAGGCCAGGCTGCTCGCCGGCTGAGCGGCGCCCGGCCAGCAGCAGCCCTGGTCCTGCTCCTCCAGCCTGCGGGCGGCTGTCTGTGGGCGACAGTGCAGGGCAGGGAGCAGGGGTCCACCTGGGCCGGCCGCCGGACTCTTGGGGTGTGGCCAGTGCTGGGGGGCAGGGGCGCCCCAGCACGTGTGCTGGCAGCCTGGGAGTCCTCACCCCTCTGCCTGGGGCACTGAGG